ATATATATATATATATATATATAGATAGATATAGATATAGATAGATAGCTAGATAGATAGATAGATAGATAGATACATGCATATATACATACATACATATACATACATATACGAGTATTTAAAAATATAAGAAGATGGAAATGCTCAAAAAATTAATTGATAAATAAATAAATAAAATTATAAAAAACATAGATAACTAGATTTTATTCACCGGCACAGAAAACGATAACCAGGCACACATAAGTGTTTAAGTCTCCTTAATATATATATCCTTTTTACGGTCGTGTTCTTAAACAAATATTGTGTCATCTTACTTTTGTACGAATGACACGCTCCACAAGTGGATTCCACAATTCCGTCTGCTTAAAAAAGGCTTTGTGGCATTCCACTTTTGTGTATTCGGTGTAGTTCACGAGTGGATTCCATGTTGTGACGCATGCCACATTGGTGACACACGATGGGATTTGTAAGCCTGGGGTTTGAGAATTGGCGAGGAGAGCACTCTCTTAATCCGCAGGCGATGGAAAGTAAAACACTTCAGTATTCTTCAAGCAAAGAACAGAATTTGCTCCTCGAACTGGATGAAGTATATAAAACTGTGCTGGAGGACAAAAAGATCGAGATTAAACTCGAAGGACAGAAGAAAAAGACAGAGGCAGGAGGAGCCATACATCAAAGATACAACATTGCGGGGACGGACTATTGTGCAGCTAGAGAGGATGTGGCAGAACATGGAGAGCAGGTAAGTTAACCCAGACATTGTTGGCATTAATTTGGTAAATGAATGGGTCACTTCTTTTAATAAAATTGGGAACTCTCCTAGACTTACACGTCTAAATCAAGCGTAGCTTACAGTATTACAAATAGCATAGTACTCCTCAAACATAAGCTAGTTCCTACCTACTCCGTGGAATTTCGTAAGTGAATAAATTACATTGTGTTTTTATGCTACAAATTTTAAAGGTGCAAAGTGTGCAGCTCTAACTCATTGTTTTTTTTCTGCTGGTAAATTCACTGCACTTGCATATTTACTTAGTGACCTACACAGTAGAGAACAACATTGTCATTTAGTGTATTTCATTATTTTCATGTTAAGTTGTGATTCCAAGGATGTATTAACATTACTGTAGGCCTACCAAGAACTTGCTGTATAATGATCAACATTATTGTATATCCTGATTCCAAACAGTGACATAGAAAATAGGTTAAAAATCATAGTTAAGCTGGTATCAAGTTTAATAATATGGTTTACTATACTATATATTTCCTTCTGCCAGAGCTAAAAAAAAATCCAGCAGAAGAAAGAGGCAATGAGGACAGGAGGGACAGACATAAGTTGCTTCCACTCAACGAAAGTCCAGAATTCTCTCTGTCATCAGCCAAGAATTATGTTCTATTGGTAATTCCGGGGATTCAGACGAACCGCATTGTAATCATAACTATAAGCAAGTTTTGGTCTTGGACCCATTTATTAACTTGAGAGAATAAGTAAATTATGAATATAAATGTGTATGGATAACTGTATATATACATAAATATACATAAATATATATGTGTGTGTGGATAAATTTGTATATATGTGTGTGTGTGTGTAGTTGAATGAATATTCACATGTGTATAGGTACGTGTGTGTATGTATATATATATACATATATGTACATATGTATATGCATATACATGTGTGTGTGTAGATAAATGCGTATATATATATATATGTGTGTGTGTGTGTGTGTGTGTGTATGTATGTATATAATTGTGTGTGTGTGTGTGTGTGTATGTATATAATTGTGTGTGTGTGTTTATGTGTATAGATAAATGTGTATGTGTATAAATATGCACATATATGTATATGTGTGTATGTACATATATGTATATATATGTGTGTATATAGGTATATTTATATATGTATATGTATATAAATATATGTATGTAAATATATGTGTATTAAATATGTATATGTATATGTATATATATATATATATATATATATATATATATATATATATATATATATATATATATATATATATATATATATATATATATGTGTGTGTGTGTGTGTGTGTGTGTGTGTGTGTGTGTGTGTGTGTGTGTGTGTGTGTGTGTGTTTATATGTGTGTGTACATATATACATGTATGTAACATACACATATATACACACTCCCATGTACTGTATACGTACACATTTATACATTTATATTCATACAAGTACATATACAATTATACAGGCATATATACATATATATATACATATATGAATATGTACATATATATATGTACATATATATATGTGTGTGTGTGTGTGTGTGTGTATGTGTGTGTACTAGATGAATGGAAGAGTATCTCTGCCTTTATTCATTTCATGGTTTCTCTTGCATAGGTGAGGCAAACAGTAGCGTAACAGTAACATTAGTTGATGATGACTCTGGAATACCAACGTCCGTTGTGGCAATAGACCTGAAGGAGGAGGAGGATGACACAGGGACATCACTGCCTGCAACACCACCAGCGTCCCGGCCATCCTCAGCAATGCCACCGGAGTCCTTTTCCTCTGCATCACAGCTAGAATCCCACACATCCTCAGAATTACCGGCAGAGCCCAGTGGATCTTCAGTGCCAGAATCACAAACAGCGTTTTGTTCATTAGATTCTACCACCACACCACTGTGGTCCTCTTCTAAACAATCTTCGCTGATCAGGAGGAAAAAATAAACGAGGAACAAAGTTCAGTGTTCAAGAAGCGTTATATGTCAATGGAATTACGACGAAGGGAACGAAAATTAAGGAAATGGAAATGAAGCGGTTAGAAAGCGACTTAAAGAATAAACAGATACTGAATGATATTTTAGAAATGGACTTAAAAGTCAAAAAAGTTGAATATGACAAAACTTAAACCAATGAAAAATGTTAACTTAGAATATGAATTACTCAAAACAAAACTGGAAAACGAAAATAATGAAGTGAGGTTTAAGTGTATTTCATGTTTGTTTATATTTTTTGCATAGCAACCTTGGTAATATATATTAAGGCTTGTAAAATATTGTATTCCAGTAATACAATGTATAAATAGATTCAATTAACGGCTGAGTCTTCCTTAATTATTTTTTCCTTTCATTTTGTCAATGTGATAACAGTATTCGTTGATAAACACCCATTTGGTTGTCGGGGATATCTTCACTAAAACTCGATGAGATATTTTTACCTTCAAATAATACATAAGAAATACAAGGATCAAAAGCAATTTTTAATAATCTGGCGACGTTCTACACTGCCCTGTGCATTAACAGGGGCACCAGCCTGGTTATCTGGGAGAGGATTTGGGTCGTCATAAGTGCCATTTCAGCTTCTGGCTGAAATGGCACATCATCGGGGAATGGCATCCTCTATCTGACAGCGAGGTTGTGGAGAAACTTTTGTGTTTTCCAGACATGTTTGCATTTTCTTGCCCAAACAACCAAATCTCTCGAGGACACCGAAAGCCTGTTCGGTGCAGTTTTCTGGTGGTAGTGTGGGGACTGCTGTAACGTTGCTCTTGACGGGAATGACGATTGGCTACTGGTGTTAGCAGGTGACCTCGATGGATTCCATCCTCTATATCTACACACAGGCGGCTCTTATAACAAATATTGCTGTTGTGAGCGCTACCTGGCCATGTAGCAATACCATTAAAACTGTAGTTGAGGCCCACAAACTACGTTTATATTTTAGGAAAATACTCCTTTCCTGTTTCAGAATATTTCAGATCGGTCCCCAGATGTCTTTTTGATGGTTATGTGGGTGCCGTCAATGCAGCCAACAACAGCAGGCATTCCACCAATTGCCATGAAATCCCACATCTGAATGTTTCATTTGTTCCAGGCATCTTGGTGATGTTATGGCTCATCCTGGCAATGACTCAGAAGTCACACGACTGTTACATCTGTTTACATAACACTGTGAAACGTTGTAGCAGTCTGGAATTGTCAGCTGGTGATTACCAATGGCCATATACCTCAAGGTGTTGAGCACTTGCAGGTAAGGGGTACTGAAATACTTGTTAGATGAAATAATGGTCAATTTTTGGTATAGCAGGATTCACGAAACTGAAGTATATTGATAACTATCGATTAAGCACCTAACTAGATTTTTTTCTTCTAGATAGACAGTCGCCGTACTCTAAAATAGGGAACCGGTTACGTAGAGTTCGACTAAATCAGGTTAGGTTGGGATAAAATAGGTTTGATTTGGCAATACTAGTGTATAATAGTGGTCTATAAGAAATTACTTATTAAATCAAATTGAAATATGAAAAAAAATAAAGGCAGATCATAAAGACCTGTTAATGAGAGTTTGAGGTAAGTGGGGTAGAATCTTCTGCATATGATTAAATGCAACCTCCTTCGTCATCCTGAATCGCGACAGAAATTCGCTCTCTGCCGTCGCCTCGAAAGGATCCATGCGGCCGACCGCAGGTCTTGCAAATGATGAAGAATGATTCTAAAGATTGAATTAAGTTTCTATAGTAAACATGCTACACTAGTCATCTTGTCAGTGGTTATAATAACTTTCGCCTGAAAAGTAGAATATTTAATTGTAAAACAATAGAAATTGTATGCAGTAAACAGTATACTTTAAATTCACAAAGCTTTATGAAACATCGTTCAGCGATTCGGGATTATCGCAAAATAATATAAAGCTACTTAAGTAATGATACATTCTTAAATTTCTTGTTCGTTTTAAGTATGCTGAATCTGAATTTCGTTACCTTATGATAAGGGGTTACCGCATTACTATGTGATTTTTTTTTTACCTTAACAATTGGAGTACAACAACTATGAAACATACAGGCGTCAATCGCCAATATTTGATGTCGATTTTCAGAGGGAATCAATGTTGATAAAAAAAAAAATAAGAAAAAGAAAACTGCATGAATGAATTTGCAAGAGGAAAAATAAGCAAAGTTTAATTTTGAATTAAGATTACGACATTTATAATTATTTAATATCTAGGAAAATATACTA